GGCTGTCGATGTCAGGGTCTTCGCTCACCTGCCGGCGGTACTTGGCTACCTTGGACATCTCGGCGAGGTGGGCTGCGACTCTGCTCCTGCGGGGGCTGCAGCGGTCCTGGCGGGAGGGACGAGCAGGTCTGGATGGCGCGAACCCCGGCTGCTCGGAGCTCGGAGCTCGGAGCTCGGAACGCGGCTACAGGTGCTGCGCTGTGCGCTGGAAGCGGCGTCCCCAAGCTCTGGGCTACTGGGCCGCGGGTCTCAGCAACGGCCAATAAGACGGAGAGGCCGGCCCCCAGCGGGGCGGGCCTGCTGGCTGTCAGAGCGCTTGAAACTTGAGGACATTCCAGGGAATCTTGGAGTGCTGTGTGACCAAATTTAGTACACTTTTAAAGACAAGGGGCCATGCCATGAGAAATGAGAAAAAGACACAAAAACGCAGCGGCTGGCAGGCGGGGCCGGGCGAAGGGAGCCAGGAGGGCGGGGCGGGCCGTGGGGGCTCCGCCGGTTCAAGTGCATGGTCTGCCTCTGCCCCAGGCACTGTCCGGCACCCCAGGCCAGTGCGGGGTGCGCTGACCGCTCTCGCCTGTATCTGGTCACGTGCGGCCGCTGCTCGTGGCCGAAACCCTAAGCACTGGGGACCCTCCCCGCCCGCCTCCCACCCCACGGAACCGAGCGCTGAGCATCAGAGGCTTCAGTGCTCTGGCCCTTTCTTGGGGGAGAGGAAATAAACCCTCACCGGGCGCCGACCGAAAACGAGCCCATCTGGGGACGGAAGTGCGACTAGAGCCAGGAAACCCCGAGGCCTCCAGGCTCCCCGTTCTCTGCTGCTTCCTCCTGAGCTGGTGTCTGTCTGTCCATCTGCAGACCGCCCCTGGGAGCCCGGCGGTGCTGGCAGGTGGCCACCCACATCTCCGTCCAGGGCGCGATCCCGTCTTCAGGGAAGCGTCAGTCTGGGCTGGGGCGCTGCACCAAAGGGCCCTGCAGCGCCCCTCGGTCAGGACCTGGCCGCGCGAGCTGGAGACATTCGATCCCCTGCTCCTCCCTCCCTCCCCCACAAGATGCCCGGAGGCCGCGCCATAGCCGTCCGGGCAGCTGCGTCCACCTTTCCTGGCGTCTGGCCATCCTGACCAGCACCTGCCGAGTCCAGGGACCGTCCGGGACAAGCTCGGCCCTACATTTCAAGCCGCTGGTCCCACGTCGGGGGAGGGCCGAGGGGGCCGGTGTGGGGCTGGGGCAGAGGGGAGGCAGCAGAGCTGGGGGGACGGGGGCGCTGAGGAACCTGGGCCTTCACTTTTAAGAGGCGGCAGGCCCTGTGTCAGGGAGTCGGTCAGCGTGTGTCACCACGGTCAGGCCCTGTCCTGGAAGCAAAGGACGCTACCGAAGAGAGGACAGCGCGGCCCTGCCTTCATGGAGCTCTGTCCAGCAGTGAAGACACTTAATCAACAAATAACTTCAAGCAAGGCATTAAAAAGTAAACTGACAAGACGCCTCAGAAGAAAAGCACGTGGCTGTGGGAAACAGCAGGGCGGCTGGAGGGAGGACAGTTCCCAGGCAGGCCTGGGGTCTCCCAAGGCCAAACTCAGGCGATCGCCGGTAAGTGGAGTCAAAAACCAAGCCAAAGCAACACGCAGACTCCGAGAGCAGGCGCGGGCTCGGGTGGGGGTGGGGGAGGGCGACACGGCTGAAGGGGCCCGACTGGGTATGGATGGAAACTGGACTTTAGGTGGCGAACACTATGTAGTGTATGGAAATGTAGATCTGCAGCGCTGTACAGCTGAAGCATCTGTAATCGTGTGACACACACACGCACACACACACACACACACACACACACACACACACACACACCCCGGGCTCTCCAGGCCAGCAGACCTGTGTCAGGTCCTCCTAGTGCTGCTTACTGGCCATGTGACTCTGGGCCAGTCCCCTCTTCTCTGAGGCTCGGCTTCCTGCTCTGTGGAACACGGACAGCAGCTGGCTGACCCTGTATGGTCGTCATGAACGTGAAGTCCGAACCCACACACAAAACACTTAGTTGGTGCAGGTGACGCTCACTACTCACGAGTGATTATTCCAGTTGTGGCCACTCTGGCCCTGGCTCCTTCCTCCCCATCCCGCCTGTCCTCCCTGTCTTCCCTTCCATCCTTCAGCAGTAACTACCCTCAAAACGCACACACGAATATGTACATGCACTGTGTTCTCATCTGGTTCTCCCTTATTCATTCATTCATTCATTCATGCATGCATGCAAGCATTTATTCAGATACTGCCCTGTGTACACAGCACCCTGCCAAGCTCTACAGGGAGAAAGACACAAAAATAATTACAACATGGCACTGTCTTTTAAATGCACGACCTAACGGGGTGAAAAGTGATTACTCTGTAAGGCAAAGTCGGGTGAGAGGGGTAGAAGCGGCGGCTGGGAGCCCAGGAAGACGCCTGAGTTCTGTGGGGAGGGCTCGGGGCGGGCGTCCCAGAGGGCTGAGCTGGCCCGCGTGGGCTTGGACACGCTGGGAGGGCTCCACGGAGGGCGCTATGCTCCTACCCCCACTCAGGGCACCGGTCCTCACCCTCGCTCCTGCTCAGAGGAACTTTCCAGAAGAAGCACAGCCTTCTGACTCCTGGCTCCAGAGCCACCTCGGCCAATCTCTCTCCCCAGTCGGCTGAGAGCAGCTCTTTCCAGCCCCCAGGGACTCTTCTTCAGGCTTTTTGCCCACACTGTCCCCCCTTCGCCACCTTTGGCCCCGCACCGCCTGGTGTCCCTTCTCGTCTAGGCTCCGCGGTCTCTGCTCCAGGACCACACTCAGAAGATGCACCCACGGCATCCGGACCCACAGGGCAGGGCTCACGGCCCCCTAACCAAAGGTCTCCGTATGCACGTGACCCCCGTATCTCCTCCGTCTCATGTCCCCCGGCTCCAGGCGGCAGGCCCTGCTGGTGGGACTCCGTCCAAAGCCCCAGGGCTCCCCACGACCACCTGCAGACCCTCAGGGGCATCGCAGCTGGGGAGCCCGGAGCCGAGGAACACAGCCTCCCCCAGCCCTGCGACAAGGGAGCACCGCCCCCGCCCCACTCCGTAGGGACACGGTCATCCAGGCTCAGAACCCTCCTCCACAGGAAACTGATTCATCTTGGGTGTCCAGGGACGCCAGTACGGCCTGTTCCCCAAAGACAAACAAGCGCTGCTGTGCTAGAGGGGTGGGAGAGAGGGAAGAGACCTCACGCTCTGCCTAACACATGGCACGTGGGCACGGGGGGTCGGGAACCAGACCGAATGCAACCAGCGCTTAGGGTGGTTCTCAGCTGGGCTGAGCGACCCCAAGACTGTCACATTTGCAGGAATACTGGTAAGTATAGAGTAGCGGATAATGGAGTCAAATGACACGGGCCCAGTTCTGAGCTGTGTGGCCTTGAGTACATTACTTAACCTCTCTGAGCCACAGGAAATGGAGAGTGAGGACGTGAAAAGCCCCCAGCTAGAGAAGAGAAGAAGGGCTTCTGCGCAGGGCTGCGGCCTGATTGAGCACCCTACATGAGGGGACGCGTGCGGGCGCTTGGGCACCTTGTAAGCGCGCAGTGCAGAATCACTCTGGTTCCTTCCCCGAGCAGCCGACTGTCTCCAGAAGTGACCTCCGGCCTGGCCCGGCCTCCTGAGGTGAGCAGAAACGCGCAGAGCTCTGCGAAAAGGCCAGGGCGGCGGGGGAAGGGGAGGAAGGCAGAAAGAGGTGACAGATGGCCTCCCCACTCCTACCTGCCAGGCCACAACCCTCTGCTCACCAAGCAGGCCCCAGCCACAGACCAGAACCCCAAACCCAAGAGCCAGTGGTGGGACGAGCCTTACTTGTCCCGTGACCTTCTGGGATGGGGAGCTCTGTAGGCCCCCAGAGCTTCTGGCTCAATGGAGCTCAACATACCCAGAGGTCCAGGAACCTCTAGGGCGGAAGAACCGTGTCTCAGGAGTGGCAGATTCTGAAGGGTCCCTTCCCTGACCTCCCGGGGCGGAGCGGGCCGGAAAGCCGCATTCTTGGCTCTGCCACTTGCTTGTGGTTTCTCTGGCACATCCCTATGAGATGACATTGAGGTAGGTACCGTCCGTGGTTCATCGTGTTTGCAACAGGCGCTGCAAAGCCCTGGCATGAATAAACATAGCCTGGACCGCAGACGTGCCTTCTCGTCCTCGCTACTCTCCTGATGACGCTTTTTTTCCTCGGGGTCACGCTAGTGTAGAAATGTGGCATGTAGCACATACGACACACAGAGTATGCGTTCACCCAGCACTGACGTTATCCGTAAGGCTTCAGGGACCGCAGGCTACCAGCTACGTTCTTAGGGAGTCACAAGTTGCACCCGGATTTCCCACTGCGCAGCGGAGGGTCACGCCCCTGACCCTCTAGCTGTTCACGGGTCAGCGTGTACGTTAGTCTCAAAAGTGCAGCATGGAGAAGAGCTGCGTTCACAGCCGCCACCTGACTGAGGCTTGTGGACCGTCCGCCTAAGGGGCCCCTGGTCCCCATCCTGCGGGTCTCCTCTCCCCTGGGCTGAACATCCCTCACGTTCTCTGGGGACCATTTGGAGGGCGACTCTGTTGTCGCTGTCCCTCCAGTCCAGGGCCCCAGCTTGGTCCCGGCACCTCGCCCGCATTTGCGGAGCATCGTCTACATTCCAGGCTCTGTGACTGAACAACCAAGAAAATACTGTCGCCCTAAGGGCTACGTGTCGTCGCTTGGAGCTTCACAAATCATGTCGAACGGGGCGGCATTAATTCTGAGCCGGCAGCCAAAGTACTCAAAAGAGGAAACGTATTTGGAAAGGCTGCAAACCCGAGCGGAAGAGCCCCAGGTCGCTTTCAGACCACCGGGCTACCGGTGACAGGGAACCTGAACTCCCAGTCGCGGGCTGCAGTCGGACCCGCAGCCTGCAGGACCGGGGCGGGGCCAGCCTCGCGCTGCCCCCGATTCCGGACTCCCATTGGCTGCGGGAGGAAGCGGTGAGCCAATCCCCACAGATCTTAATGTCCTCAGCCGGGACGACTTCCGCCTCCGGGTCAGGCCCCGCCCCGCTCTCCCGGCGTCGCTTGCGAGCTGGAATCAAAATGGAGGAGTACGCCCGAGAGCCCTGGTGAGTTTGACCGGCGTCCTCGCCTTGCTCCTGCCCTTCGCTCTTGTCTGTTCAGGCTCCCGAGGTTAACTACGCGGGCGTGGTAACCATGGGCGGTGCGGGCTGGAGCTGCCCTTCGGCCGGACCGCCCACACCCGGGCCCAGCCGACCTTGTGCCGGGTCCATAATCGTACCATCTGCTCGCCGAGGTGACCTTAGACGCGTCCCTGCCTTTCGCTTTGCTTAGCTCTTGCGTCGAGGAAGGAAAGTCAGGCCTCCCAGGGGGTGCCATTCTCGAAGCAGTCTTTGCATCTTGACACGTGTCCGCAGGGCCAAGCATTTCACATGAGCGGAACATAGATTATACCCAAAGGGGCTGGATGAGCTCCTATAGGCAGGGGCCTCGTTTTCGTGCTTGGGAGTCTCACTTGGAGGAGAAAGGGCAAAAGTTTTCTGGAAAATGAAAGAGAGAGTAGCACATGTTCTCTGAAAAGCCATGAACAGGAATTTATACATTCGTGAAGAATTTATTGAGGGCTCTGCTCAGCATTTTGTTAAGTTCAAGGAATAAAAGCGTAAATAAATCAGGCGCACGAATAGATCATTAAAAAGGGGCATTATTGCTGTGAGGTCTCAGGTTGCTGGAGTTTAAAGTTTCTGGGTTCATAAAGGAAAAATCAGAACTTGTTATTTGGATTAGTCACCTGTTTTATTGTGTAAGAGCAGGAACCAAGATGTCTTCAAGTTGTGAAAGTGCCCAGGATTTTAAAATATTAGGAATTGAATTTAATTTTTTAACAGGTGGTTCACACCGTTTTTTAAAAAATAACTTGTAATTTTGTTGCTGTTAGTTACTGGTTCTCTGTGGCCTGTATTTGTCTGGCATTTATATTCTGTTAGATTCTGGCTTCAACTCTTCGTGTAACCCATCACCTCCCTGGCAGGAACGTTTTGATTTTAGCCGGACTTTGTTCAGAAACTCCCATCTTGCCTTTGATTTGGACATCCTCTCTTGGATTGGTACTCTGGCTGCTAAATGCTCTGAATCCTGCTGGGTTTGTTTGTTTGTTTGTTTGTTTTTCCCATCGATTCTGTAATGCTCATTTATTTCAGCTCCAACTAATTATAAGATCATTTAGGGTAGATCTTTTAAAGTTACCCACCACTCAGAGGGAGCCACTCATTCATTCTCCTGGGTCTTTCCTCTTACTGTTCTACCTTTTTAAAGAAAATTTCCTAATCCTCTTTAGTCTCTCAGCACTGCTTCTCAAACTCTTAAAGTGAAATCAGGTCACCTGTGGATTGCGTTAAACTGTAGACTGATTCAGTAGGTCTTCAGTGTGGCCTAAGAGTTTTTAGTTCTAACACATTCCCAGGTGTTGCTGATTTTGCTTTTAGGACCACAGAAGCAAGCCTGGAGTAGCAAGGCCCCAAAGCATCCGGCTGATAATTGGAATATCTGCTGCACGAGTATCATGAGTTCTATTACTTGAAAAGGATGTGGTGTTTTGCCTGCATGGCTTTGTATTCCTGTCTGGCAAAGTCAGAAATTGCTCATTATTCAAATTCTCCTGTAGCATTTATACTCTGAATTCACAGGTTTACTTGAGCAGGTAGATTGCGCATAGGCACATAACATTTGACCCTTGCCGCTAGATTAAAAAAAGAATCTTTTACGTACGATGGGTTGCAAATGAATTTAACTATTTACAGATTTTTTTTATAAACTAGATTGCTAGATTACTAGTTTTATTCTCCTGATATTACTTGGATTTCAGTGCGTTCCATGAGGTAGGGTGCTACATTTGCAAGCTGGGCTTACAAATTTAATCTCCAATTATTGGATATTGGAATATACCCATGTGTTAAATAGATCTGATACAAACTGAAGTTCTAAATGGTAACTTGGACTCAATAAACCCTGAAAGAATGTCAAACTTTGAAAATTTTGTCTTCCTCTGCACCTATTGAGTGTTCATCCTTTGGGCTTCAGCTTTAAATTTTACTGCAGCTGGAAAGCTTGCTTTGATCTGCGGGAGACCGAAGCAGCATTCTTGATGACAGTGCAGTGTTCTTCATACTTGTTTATTCACTTTTGCGGTGTCCAGCTTAAAATGAATACGCTAATTGTTAACTGAGGGAGGAAAGAGTTACTGACACTACAGAGCTAAAGCCAGTTTCATCCCTTCTAGCTTAGGCGCCTTGGGGCTGAATAGACGTGGATATGTTCCCGACCCTTCATCTTTGTCTGTATTTCATGGGCAATTGTTTATTGGTTGCGGAGGGCCCTGCCTTGGGATCTGCCGCATCCCTTACTGTGTTAGCAAAGGTCTTATGGTTTATGAATGAGAACTGCGGTCATGTTTTTCCCCTGTGCGTAGCCCCTGGCGCATTGTGGACGACTGTGGTGGCGCCTTCGCGATGGGCACCATAGGTGGCGGCATCTTTCAAGCAATCAAAGGCTTTCGCAATTCTCCAGTGGTAAGTGGGTGAATGGTCTTGCCTTATTATCACTTGGAACCCAGATCTGCTCCTATCACTGATGGCTTGTCAGCGGGTTGGGGACGCATCGCCCTTCTAATGTGTTCTGGTTGCTTTTTTATAGGGAGTGAACCACAGACTGCGAGGAAGTTTGACAGCCATCAAAACCAGGGCTCCACACTTGGGAGGTATGGAAACAGAACTTCTCTGTTTGTGCTCCGGGCTCTTCGTGTTTATTTGGAGATGAAGCTCTGTTTTCTTCTTTTCTAGAGTATGCCAGTTTCTGATTTTAGATCAGACTCAGTTTATTACGAATGAACATCTCCGTAGGTTCTTCTCGATTTATGGTTTATTGAGAAATTAACTGGAATTGTCGGGAAAGAGATGCTTTTGACATGTCTCCATTATTCTTGAGCTCTTCCTACCATTTTGGAACGAGATGCTGCAGGCTCTTCCCATGCTTTCCTTGCCCTAGCCATGGAGCCATCCATTTCTCCCAGGAGACCTGGTGCCTTCTCGTTGAGAATGGCGTCTGGGCACTGAGTGCACCATTACCGGTGGGCGTTGCTGTTCCCAGGCCATCTTGTAAGAGAGCTTGGCATGTCTGCGTAGCAGGGACGTAACAGCCACACATGGACCCAGGCGAACTTGCGGCTCTGCTTCCCGTTCAGACCCCCAGCTTTCATGCTTCTGCCTTGTCGTGTGACACCCCTCCCACCCCCAGCCGCCAGGCTGTGGCACCCCATGGCGGGCCTGCCCACGTGACTACACTGACCTCCCTGCCTGTGCCAGGCTGCCCTCCTGTGTGGACCAAGTCTCCACTGTCGCCAGGAGGCACGGCTTGCTCTGGCCTTTGGTCTTGGGCGAGGGGAGAGCCAGGCTCTTGTGAGGGAGTGGCAGAGCCTCTGAGGAACTCAGTGAGGGAATTCTGACATCCCTGGGCACCGTCTCTGCCAGGGCACAGACGCTGAGTTAAAACTCGTTTATTTTTGTGTGGTACGTGATATCTAGTATTGGCCCTAAAGCGAAGGAGCTCGTGCTCCACCTCTGCTGGGACCTCCTCTCGGAGTCGTTGACAGCGCGCCCTGGAAGAGGCGCCTGGCGGTGTCTGGATCGGATGCTGGTGGCGCCCAGCTCACTGCCATCTCCACACACTTCGAGGTTTCCGGGGGCAAAGAACGAGGTGGCCGGGGCTCCTCCATGCAGTTCTTCTTCTTTCTTTCACGTTAATAACTATGACAACTTTTCATGCAGTGTGAAGTCATGTGTATTTGTTTCAGAAGCCTGGAAAACAAGCACAAAGAAAGTGGTCATCTGTCATGACACCCAGAGATGCTGACAGTCGATGTCGCCTCTGGGTTTTGTGTGTGCTCGGATGTGGTGGCTGTTTGTTTTTTGTTTTACAGATTGTTGCTGTGGTTAGGGAGTTTGAGAGCACAGTCATCCGATTGAGGGTCGTTTTTAGTTTTGTGCTTGTGGAATAAAAGGTGGAAAAGAGAGGAGCAGTAATTTCTGTCCCCTCGCTGCTCCGCGATTGTTTGCGCCCTTCATCCGCCACGCTGGCACGAATGGCCTTGCAGCTGGAACATGTTCCAGAAAAGCTGGATTTCTTTTGCATTCCCGTTGGTGATTCTGTGGAGCAGACGCTCAGAGACCCTGAGCGCAGGCGCAGGCAGGCCGGCCGCGTTCGCTGCTGGTGCGCCGCGGCTCTGGGCCGTTGCCTGTTTCCAGCTGATGTAACGCAGCCCACGCTTGGTTAAGAAGATAATATCCTGACTTCTCTTCATCTGTTGCTTATTAACACTTGTGTTTGCATACATTCGGAGTGAGAGAGTTTTGAGAATACAATGAGTGTTGTTATGTAGACTTAGTTTTTACGGTAGCATTTTAAACATAAGATGAAAAAATGAAATTTGCATTGTTCGTTTTCAAACACAACAGGCAGCTTTGCAGTTTGGGGCGGCCTGTTTTCCATGATCGACTGCAGTATGGTCCAGGCCCGGGGGAAGGAAGACCCCTGGAACTCCATCACCAGTGGGGCCTTAACGGGGGCCATCCTGGCGGCAAGAAGTAAGTGCTGTTGCAGACACACTCGGGAGCGGGACTGCTCGGGGACCGCATCTGCCTCAGCTTGGCGACGTCTGGCGCATGTAAAACTGAGCTCGGTTTAGTTTGGTATAGCATGAATGGATACGGCGATTTGGGGGAAAGAAGTAAGTCTGTCTGCCGGGAGTTTGAGAATGCGAGGGCGTGCGGCTCCAACCTGGGCCTCACGGCGGGCGGGAGCACTCACGGCCCCCTGCGCCGCTGACTGCGGCCTCCCATCAGTGCTCTGGAGTTAACGGTACTGGCCTCATGGGGTTGTTATGGTAACGAGCACAGACCATCTTCTGGGTCTTTGGGACCAGAGCAGCCCAGACTCCCTCTGGGCTCAGTGCTTTAGGCCAGCAGTTGTCAAGCATTTCGTAAAGAGCCAGGTAGTCAATATTTTAGGCTTTGTGGGCTGTGAGGTCTTTGTTACAGTGATTCAGCTCTGCCATCGTTGCTGAAAGCAGCCACAGGCAGTGCCTAATGGGTGAGCATGGCTGTTCCTATGAAACTTCACTTACATAATCAGGCAGTGAGCTGGATTCGAGCTAGGGGCTGTGGTTTGTTGACCCCTGGTCTCAGCCACTGAGAGAGGGTTTGGGAATGAGGTAGCCTGGCCGTGTGGATAGCTCGTTACCGCATCTCACATTAAACTAGATTTCTATTAAAGCAATCTCTCTTACCGACGTGCCCAGATGGACCGGTGGCCATGGTCGGGTCGGCCGCGATGGGGGGCATCCTCCTGGCTTTAATCGAAGGAGCCGGTATCTTGTTGACGAGATTCGCCTCTGCACAGTTTCCCAGTGGTGAGTCCCCTTTCTGCTTAATGTCACAGTTCGGACATTTGGAACGGTTCCTGGTGCTTGAAAAGAGTGTTTTGTGTGCTGAATGTGGTGCTTGTGACTGTGTTATGTGTCGACGTGCCGTGTGCCAGGGGGTTATGACAGTGGGCTCTGACTCGGTTTGAGAAGCTGGATGTGGGTTCAGTTACCGTGTCGTCCACTGTGGCCAGAATGATAGACGTCTTCGGTCTTGCCTTTAGTTCTCAGGTTTCTTCAGCGCTCATTCACTTATTCTAAGACATCCCTGGTCACTTTAGAGGTGCTTGCAAATGTCCAAGAAGAACAGTTGTCAGTCGACAACTTGTCACTGACGACGTAAGAGCCAGTCAGTGGTACTTACTGGTGGAGAGGACTCACCTGCTGGTGGGGAAGACGGGCCAGCCCGGGAATAGACACACGAGGTGGTGTCATTGTGCCGCTTGCTTTGAAGAAAGTGAAACAGAGTGGTAGGAAGTGGCCGTGTTTGGGAGGGTCGCTTTGGGAGTCTCAGGGAAAGTGTTCTTAAGGAGCTGGTGGCATAACTTGTGTGGGCTTGAGGGTCCCCACGTTGTCACGCCTGCTCAGCGTTACTTTGCGCAGTCCCCCGTGACTGAGAAAACTCAGTCATCTCCGTGGGAAATGCCTTGATGCGGGCAAGAAGCAGAAAGAGGCCACAGGGCTGTGGGAGAGACGGACTTGACCTCTGGGCAGGACGTAACGCAGCAGAGGCCTATGGGAAAGGACTTTTAGGTCTCGGAAGGGATTCGGCATCGAGCTAGGACTAGGTCGTGGCCCCCACTTGGACTTGGCTCCCTGAGGCACGTAGCGTGAGAGCCAGTCTCTGGGCACTGTTCAGACGCTCTGCTCGTCGCGTGCCGGCGAGTGACCTGGACCCTCACACCCTGTTGCTGTTGCCCAGTTGTTTCTTCTGAGTTGATGCTCCGTTACTTTCCGGTGTGTTTGCCGTGGCAGTGGGAAGGACTCTGCAGTGAGACACCAGGAAAGCCCCTGCCGCGAACGCAGAGGTCGCTGCGACAGCGTCGGCTTGGAGAAACGAGCCTCGGTGGCTTTGCTCTAGGCTTTTCCTCAGAGGGGTCTCCAAGGAAAGTGTGTTTGGTTTTAGACAGGAAGTGCGGGCGGAGAAGTCTTTGAGAAGTTCATCGTTTTTCTCCAGTTAACTTACGTGCAAAGGTCCTTGAAACAGTGGGGAACAGGAGCTGGCTCTGTGTCTAAGTGGCAGCGCTGGTCAGCTTTGGTTTATCTCTTTCACCCAGTGTCGTCCTAAGTGTTCCGTAACGAACAGACACTGCTTTTTATTGAAAAAGCACACACCGTCGCCTTTCAGGGAGCCTCGAGGAGTTTTGCTACCGCCCCGGCGGTTTTCGGTCCGCCTCGGTTTCCCGGAGAAGAGCGGCTGTCCCGTGAGACAGCCTTGCTGACGGCGTCGCATTCTGAGTGCACAGGCCCTCCCGCCTTCGAGACGAAACTCCACGGGACTTGGTTAGGGGTGACTCCCACTTCAGAGCTCACGTCCCACGTCACTGACTGTATACACTGGTTTACCGAGTCCTCTCGAAGCACGACAAAGGCACCTCAGCCATGTGAGAGTCATTTTAAATGGCTGCTGGAAACCGCGTCAGGAGGCGCGTGTCCATGTGGCAGTTTGTCGCAGCCACGGCTCTAAACGCCCGAGCTGCCCCCGCTCGGACGGACCGCTGGTGCCGGCGGCGTTGGACAGCCGTTCGTGCCGGGCGCCAGGGGCGGTCTGCTTTGTCGCCGGACTTGCCGGTGCCGTCCTGGGAACGGGGATCTGCGCGGGAGCTCGGGTTGCGGCTCCAAGGCAGCGCGTCGTTTTCACCGAGCGGGTCGGTTTTCTGTCTGCAGACTCGTTCCTGACTACGGGCCGTTCGGGTGGTTTTTAAAACTCTTCTCTCTCCCAATCGCAGGTCCTCAGTTTGCCGAAGACCCGTCGCAGTTGCCGCCCTCGCCCTTCGGAGACTGTCGACAGTATCAGTAGGGCTTCCTCGGCGGGAGGAGACGCGGAACGTCAAGTTACAGTCCGTTTTAAACCATAGGTGGGACATCTGTGGCCACGTGCGCTACAAAGAGACGTTTAGCACTTTTTCTATTTAAAGGATCTCGGAGGGGGTTAGAAGATAATCCCACGTGTTTATTTATTCACACGTGGATTGCACTTGCGATGCAAGTGCCTGTCCCGTGTCTTTAAAAGAAAACATGCTAAGTGCTTAGAAGACGAGGACCAAAGGGCAGACAGCTGTGAGACATGGCCATGGTCTCCCTGGGGACTTCTCCGCCTGGGTTTGTGTGTCCTGCTAGTCAAACAATAAAAAACTCCTGGAACTTGCTCCTTCTCTTACAACCGTCTGTAGACTCGGCCTCTCCTCCCCGAACACTTGGATAACGCAGAGTATGTTGCAAACCACGTGTCCCTGGTCAGGCCCTCCCGGCCCGCGGGGCACTGTTGGGGGCTGGCACAGGGAAGGCTTTGTGGGCTGAGGGCTGAGGTGGCGCACCTGCCTCTGTTTGAAAGGCGGATGCAGTTTCCCGGTGTGAGGCTGGTAGGTGCAAGACTCTGCCTGTGAGGCTCTGAGACTGTCTCCCCGCCCCTCCACCACCCGCCGCCCCCAAAAAAGCTACCTTCCTGCGTTTCCGGACGGCCTCCTAGCACTGGAAGTTTGCTGTTCATTGTTGCTTGAAAATAAAGTACACGGTGTTTTTCACGTGTCCCATGTCCCCTGAGGCCCATCTTCATAAAGGAGGTGGCTGGCGGTCTGTGGGCCTGGAAAGCGGATTAGCCTTCCGGAATAGGCCGTCTCACTGATTGAACGTGTAGATTCTGGGCATCTGTTCTACCTCGGGCTGTAACGTGTAACCTCGCGCTGCCACCGCCGCCGCCTTCTCTGCTTTCTCTGCTCCGGCCGGCGCCGTAGCCACGGGGAGCCCCTCAGCCCGACGCCCGGCTCCCGGCCCTTCCACCCTAGCTCCCGGTTCCGTGTGTCAGCGCTCCCTCTCTCCTTGGGCTAGGAGGTGCCCCTGCTCCCGTCTTCCATCTTCCCTGGCCAAGCCCTGGCTCCACCCTTCTCCCAGGAGCCCTGGTTTTGTCGGGGAACGGCATTCGGAAACCCTGGTCTGGCTGCCATTGCTTGTCCCTTTCCGGGGAGAGGGCTGCGAGATCCATGTAAGGCACGGACCCGGGGCGTGCGCTTCTGATATTTCTAAATCTGCACGTGAAACAAAGCCTGTGAATCCCTCCTGGTCCACAGGGTTCGGTGTCGCAATCCCCCTCTTTACCTGGCACTCGTTATCTGTGACAACTTGCTCACTCGTCCAGTCCCAGTTACACGTAAGGGAACTGCAGAACCGCTGGACCGTGCCTCTGAGACAGGTCCGCGGGCGAGGGCACAGCGCTCGCTTCGGTCCGTCAGCGCTCCCCCAGACCGTGCCCACGCTGTCTGGGCCCCTCCCGCCTCGCCCTCAGCGTGGTCGTGTGCGTGGTCGTGTGCGTGGTCGTGTGCGTGGTCGTGTGCGTGGTCGTGTGCGGCGTGGCACAGTTCGTCATTGGCTGCGCGGGCGTTGCCTCTTTCTGCATCCTGGTTGAGTGTCGAGAAGTCTGCATTCGGTAGAATTCACCGTGGCGTGCACGTCTGGACTCTGACGCAGACAGGTTCCAGGAGCAGTCAGACACAGGACAGGGACGCCACCCCCAGCGTTCACAGCCAGCCGTTCCTTCCGTCCGTCTTGCACGGCAGCTCCCGGTGTGCTTCCTGCCTGCGGGTTTTCACCTTCAGGGGTCGTGCACGTGGCCTCATTTGGCACGGCGCCCAGCCCGGCTTCCTGCGCTACCAGGGCGTCGAGGCGTGCCCGTGTCGTGTGAGTGTGCCGAGCGGTGCCCCGGTGCGCATCCCTCCGCCAGCTGCAGGACACGGGGGTGTTTCCAGTTTGGGGCAGTTACAAATGAGGTTGCTGTGAACATTCACTTGCGTATTATAAGATTCTGTCTGTACGAAATATCCAGAATAGGCAAATTTGTGTTTCTCCTGGTGGACCCGCGGTCATGAGGGGCCCGTGCGTGATTTTGGAGGGGACTGCGGAGGTCCTGGCCGCTCTGCGTGCTGGCCAGCGCGGGGCGAGGCCGCTGTTTGCTCGTTTTTCAGTTTGGCAAGTCTGTAGGTGCACGGTGGCCTCTTGGGGTTTCCGTTTGCGTTTCTCTCATGACCCGTGGTGGTGAGCATCACCTCGTGTTCCCTCGCCATCCTTGCGTTTTTGATAAAGTGTTTTCCCAGCCCCCTCGCACGTTTTGTTTCCTCTTTGGTCTTGAAGGTTCTGTGTATATGGATACGAGTCCTTTGTTAGACGTGCGATTCGCAAGTATTTTCTGTATCTTTGTCAGAAAGTAGTTGTGTGGGTCTCCTTCTGGGCTCTGTCCCGTCGATCTGCGAAGCTGCCTTTCGCCGGTGTCAGCTGCAGCTGGGGAGGAAGCTTAGAAATCGAGCGCTGAGTCCTCCCGCTTTGTTCTTCTCTCGTTTCGGCCCTTCCCGGTCCTGTGCCGCTTAAGCTCACAAACGTCACCGAACTTCTAAATAAAGGCACAAAACACTTCTAATACCAAACACTGAAATAAATGTGAGTTATAGATACATTTAAGAAAGTGAATAAAATCAAAGAAGATCAGGATTTTCCAACTTGCTTACTCCAGTTCACGATCACGGGCCGGAGCCTCCCCGGCAGCTCAGGATGCTGGCAGGGACCCACCTGAGCAGGTCACCCTTCCCTCCAGGGGCACTCATACCCACCTACTCCCACTGGCACAGTGCAGACACCCCGTTCACCTCACGTGCACCTCTTGGGGATGTAGGAGGAACCTGGTGGCCCTGGGAATCCAGCGAGCTGGGGAGGATGTGCAGACACCACACAGACGGTGGCCTCCCACAGGAGCAAATTTATTTTCTCACATCAGCGCTGTAACAAAATGAAGTGTAGCGAAATGTTATTTGAGGGCCTGAGGTTTGTGGGGAAAGGTTACATTGTTGCCGTTGTGCGCCGCAGAGTTAGGATACTCGGGAGAAGGCGAAGGAGGGCAGTTAGTGGTGCACTTTTACCCGACTCTCTCTTGGGTGAGCTGTGGTTTGTCTTTTGAAGACTCGATCTGTTTCATCTGTGTCGTCAAATTGATCAGCGCAGGGTGGTCTGAAGTCTTCCTTTTTGTTGTCCTTTTCACGAGGGGGACAGCAGCTTTGCAGCTCTCTGCTTGAGGAAGGCGTCGCCCTTATTGCATCGACGGCGAGTGTCAGGCCTTCCTTGTGCTCCACTGGGGGGCGCCTCCACCTCTAAGGCTGTGAGCTGGCGTTCCTCGGGTGATTCTGAATTGTGCACTGGGGGGGGAGGGGGGTCTGGCAGCTCATCCCTCACTGTTTTGCTCACTGTTCCTTTTTACATCTCATTCTGTCCGGCGACGATTTTCCTTCTTGAAGTAACTCCTTTAGAATTTCTTTAGTGGGAGTCTCTTGGTGGTAAACACTAAATTTTTCTTACCTAAAAATCTATATTGCCTTCATTCTTGAATAATAGTTTAGCTGAATATGCAATTCTAAGTTGATGGGGTTTTTTCTCATTGTTCTGAAGATAGTGTCTTCTGGCTTTGGTTGTTAATGAGAGGTAGGTCCACTCTTGGTCCAGTTTCCGCTTGTCATTCTTTTGCAAGTGATCTCTTTTATTTCTTTGGCTGTTCCTAAGATCTTTTTATGTCTTAGTCCTCAATTTAACTGAAACATGTCTACATGTAGATTTTTATTTTTATTTTTATTTTTGCTTTGAATTTGTTGTGATTGTTAAATCCGTAGAATCATGCTTTTCATCTATTCTGGAACATTTCCAGCCATTATTTTGGAATGTCCAAGATGTGTTACATTCTGAGCACTTAAAAGTAAATAAATAAAAATGAAAGCACTTGAGGAATAGGTGGGTTGTCGGGGCGTCCTTCGGCAGAGACGGTCTTCTCGGATCTCTGCTGAGTTGTTAGGGTGCGTCCCAGCGGTGAACTGGACACTGCGAAAGCCACACGGGGGAGCAAACTGGGAATGATGGGGACGGGGCCGCTCACATTCTGGGAACCAGTGAGCCAACAGGAGGAACGGCCTCGCTCTGGAAAGGTTTCCGCAGCCAAGGGGAACAGGTCCCCGGCGCCCAGTGGCCCAACGGCCAAGACCAGGCTGGGTGTGTCTCCCTGCGTTCGTTCCCACAGCACTGCTCTTCCCTGGTTGTCGCATAGCACCACGAGCTGTCATGACCCGTTTTCTTGGCTAAGTTCAAGTGCGAGCTGGACTGAGCCCAGGACAGGGTCTGGGCCAGACTTCCCAGTCATTCCCCTGCATCCAGCCTGATGGCTGCTCAACCAAAATGCGTCGCGCCGGCGCGTGGGTAACAGGAAGGGGGACCCCGAGCCTCTAACAGGCACCAAGCCCTCGGTGCCCCGGGAAAGGGGTTGTCCAAAGTTTTTGGATTTCACTAACCAGGAAAATAAAGAAAACTAACCCTGACTTTACATGGAAGTTTAGAAAGTAAATAATTCTATAAAACTAGGACATAGAACAAGACGCCATCTCCCTTTATGACACCCACTGGGACGGGCGTGGTCCGGCTCGGGATCTGGGAGTGGGGCGTGGCGCTGCCCGGACTTCCGGGCGCCCAGCCTGAGCAGGACCTGGGCCAGGGCCCGGTTCCCCAGTTCTGGGGCTCCATGCCTGGTTCCCCCGGTTCCAGGGCGCGGCTCCGCAGCTCAGCTCCGGGCCAGGGCCTGGTTCCCCCGGTTCTAGGGCTCTGGGGCGCGGCTCCGTAGCTCAGCGCCGGGCCAGGCCCGATTCCCCTGGTTCTGGGGCTCCGGGGCGCAGCTCCGCAGCTCAGCGCCGTGCCTGGTTCCCCTGGTTCCGGGGCGCGGCTCTGCAGCTCAGTCCCGGGCCAGGCCCGATTCCCCCGGTTCTA